CCAGATGGCTTCAGTGATGCAAACGCTGTCTGTTACGGTGAAGAGAAACCTAAGTGTAAAAGCAAAGCTCTCAATTTGCTGGTCGATCTACCCTACCTACCCTCACCTATGGTCACGAGCTCTGGGTATTGACCAGAAGAACCGAAATAATGAGATCATGGATACAAGCAGCAGAAATGAGCTTTGTTCTCAAGTTACGGCATTCATAAGATTTTCAGAAAACCTAACCTCTGACCTTAAGGTCAAGGTCACTGAGATACTCAAGATTTTAGTAGAAAGACTTCTGCTATAAATTGAGTTATCACATTCACAAACTTAGGTTACCATGCTGACAACAATACCTTAAGTCTTTTATGGCTGGTGTTATAACATCACGAAAAGCACAGAGGAGATCTTCCTTTCTGAACTGGCTTAAATTTTGTTTATACATGTAAAACCCTGTCATATGGAAGTACATGGACATATGACCAAGAACCACTAAGATTTACCTCCATTCACCAACTTCCTCTGCTGTAAGCACGGCCACACTCGGTGCCTCAGTGTAAAACTTCTTTTTGATAGGTGGGATGTCTGAAGAAAGCAAAAATATCACAAAATAAGTTTAGCTTTGGATAATTATATTTGCAAATTTATGTTTACATATTTGAGGGTAACTTAGCATTAATAAACTGTACGATTTTAGCCATTTTATAGGTATGGCACATGTGCATGGGGTTCACAATTTCCATCCCCAACACCAAAAAAAACAAAAGTCTTTAACTTTAGCGCACGGTTTAATTTCTAATCAATTATCCTACAATAATGCCAAATTAAGCTATATCAATAGCTAAATAGTTTTGAATAAGAAGTCATGTGCCCTTTTGACAAATATGATCACTTACCCTTCCACTTGAGCTCCTTATACTTCTCCTTGTTCTCCCGGATGGCGTCCCAGTCTATGGATGGACGGTCCTGGACAACATTTGCAGCCTGCAATTCAGCAGTAGACCAGACAGAGCCATTCTTTTCCCCTCCACATCTTCCTCCATACTCTTGTCCTCTGCGAGAACCTGAGAAGAAAATCCATATTTTCATAGTCATTCACTAAGAATCAAAAATTCATATCATTCATTTCAAACAGTTAACAGATCATCTGCAGAGGATTGGCTTATTTGGAAAGTTTCAGTCAGGTTTCAGAGCCCATCACAGCACAGAAACAGCTTTAGTGAAAGTTACAAGTGATCTTCTTATGGCCTCTGACAGTGGACTCATCTCTGTGCTTGTCCTGCTAGACCTCAGTGCAGCGTTCGTTACTGTTGACCATAATATTATATTAGAACGATTAGAGCACGCTGCAGGTATTACAGGTCTAATAGACGCCAATTTGTTCATCTAAATGGAGTCCTCTTCGCACACTAAGGTTAATTATGGAGTTCCACAGGGTTCAGTGCTAGGACCAATTCTGTTTACATTATAAATGCTTCCCTTAGGCAGTATCATCAGAAGACATAGCAAACATTTTCACTTTACATTTTATCCATGAAGCCAGATAACACACCTCAAATAGTTCAACTGCAGGAATGTCTTAAAGACATATAGACCTGAATGGCCTCTAATTTTCTGCTTTTAAATTCAGATAAAACTGAGGTTATTGTACTCAGCCCTGAAAATCTTAGAGATATGGTATCTAACCAAATTCTTACTCTGGATGGCATTAACTTGGCCTCCAGTAACACTGTGAGGAAGCTTGGAGTCAAGCCAGAGGTTTCTTCCTGTTAAAAGGGAGTTTTCCTTCCCGATGTCACCAAAGTGCTTGCTCATAGGGGGTCATATGATTTTTTGTATGTAGTATTGTAGGGTATACCTTACAATGTAAAGCGCCTGTTAGGTGACTGTTGTTGTGATTTGACGCTGTATAAATAAAACTGAATTGAATTGAATGCAGTGCAGTAATGAAATGTGATACAACTGCGTATCAGCAAAAGTCAGAACCTTATGTAGCAATCTATGGGACAAAAGCTCAGGTATACATAACATCTTGCTTCAACTGACACAGGCTTCTTATTTAGGTACAACTCTCACTATGAGCAAAATAAAGGTGGAATTAAATGCTGTGAAGGAGATATTCAGATTTATGTTAATCTCAGAAATATAAAGGTTGGGTCAGACAGAAAGCAAAACAAATTCTTGTCCACTGTATTAACTTAAAATGGCTCTAATTTACAATAAAAAAAAAGTATATTATGTAGTATTTGTACTAAAAACAATTTCCTTTTTTGGTGAATTAAAAAAAATGTTAGTGGAAAAAATATTAACCAAGAATCCCAAGGAAAATTGTTTTGAAAACATCATTTTCTAAAAGAAAAGAAATTCAAATAAATAAATTTCACACCATTACAATATTGGGAGTTGCCCTCTGCCACCAAGTCTTCGATCATCTCTTTGGCCTTCTGCTGTGCTGCAGTGGACCCAAAAATGACTACCTCACCTTCATAACCTCCCTTGTTTATCTGAAAACACAAACAGAATAGTAACAAAGGATAACATCTTACATATTTCCTGTGCACTGAATTAGTTCTGATATTCACATTTTTAGTAAATTTGGCTGCGGGATTTTAAACTTCTCACTCGTTCTAAAAATACTACCATTTTGACTCATCTTCCCAATAAGTTTTCAATATATTTTGTGTTCAAGCCTTTTAGAAACAGAGCTAAAAACTATATCTTTTATCATTTACAGTCAGTACCAGAAGTTACCATTGGATAGCAACTTTGATGGTTTGATGGCATTTTAAACTTCATGCACTCAGATTATAAGTGTTTCTAACACTTATAATCTAGCATCTATAATCTGAGATTTGAAAATACACATGGGGGACAAAATATTAAGAACATTTTAAAATATATTGCAGTTCTGAACACGTGTGGTGTAAAGTGGTCTTAAAAATTGTATTATGGTGTGTGTGTGACACACCATAATACAATTTTTAAGACCACTTTACCGATATTTGGCAATTTAAAATGCCTTTCCCCACCTTTCAGAGCCATGACATATTTCCCTGAATATCATTCATCTTCTTGTTTACACTCTGCTTGAATCAGCTGGTTGTTGATCATTACTAACAGAGAAGATAAACAGTACCCTCTGGTGGACAAACTATGAAACATCACTGATAACATGGTTGAAGGGCATTTCTCCTGTCTTTTCTAAAATGTTTTGATTTACTGGTTTTCATAATGCAGATAGCAACAGACTGGTAAATAGCCAATATCAGCTGATACTATCAATGGAAATCTAAATCTTTTAGGCATGTAACCTAAATAATAAAGTAGAATGATCATTTTTTAAGTTAAAAATGAGCAAAAAAATGTACACGTTTTCCCAATTTATGGCAGAACTTTATTGGATTTTAAAGGTATGGGCCCACCACACACAAACTGGTAGGTGGAAGTTGGCAACTACAATATTCCCTCAGTCTGCTTTCTTGTTCCTTCCCCAAGCCAGGTAAACCCATTTAAAGAAAACCTCAGGAAAAGGTTGACAAATCTATATTTCAGCAGTTCACTCTGAGCATGCTGACATTTTGCTCAAGCTTATGCCGAATTTGAGCTTGTTAGCGAACATGTTGAGAATAGGCTGGTAAACCTGAGATTGGCCCAATTTTTTACATAAGTTTTGAGTGTGTGCTTTGCTTCTTACTTCGGGTGTTCAGTTTTAGAAGGGAGTTTGATTTAGCGCCACAAAGGAATTTCTTAGGAAATAGGAAAGAGGAAACGCATTGTTGCCCAGGCACAGCATTGTTTGCCCTAACACCTCTCCCAACACACAAGCACCCAAGAACCCAAACGTGATACAATGAATTCATAAGAATTGGAAAAGGGGAGGGGACAGAGTGGAAAGGGGATGAAGGGAAAAGATAAGTTAATGAGAATCCATTCAAGGCTCAAAATTGTGGTTATTGTCATCAGGGCATTATCAAGTCCAAGTTAAATAACCATATCTAAACAAATTAAAAGTTCAAGCAGTTTTTGTTTTTCGCTTCTAAACTGTGATTTCCCATGATTTGTTGTACTAGTTTAACACAACATCACCAACTTGCCTTAATTCTTGCGCCAGATTTCTCTTGAAGTTCACGGATTGTGGCTCCTCCACGACCTTTTAACAGAATAAAATGTGTTTTAGAGTCTAAACCTGCAGAACCTCCAGGGTATAGGCCAACCTCATCACCTACACAGCTTCTTCGCGCGGACCCATCAAATCTAAGCTAACGCTAACAACACAACTAAATGCAGCTTTGCTAAGACTGTGAAAGACTTGTTACTGTAAATTTCATCTCCGCATTAATTCTGACAACGTACCTATTACTCTTCCAATTGAAGTAGTTTCCACTGTGATAGTCAGAGGCCGGGAAGACTCTTCTTTGCTAAACGTCGTCTGTCGTCCGGGGTCTCCACGATCACTTCCACCTCCCCACTTGTTGACCTCGGGACCCGGGCCGCTACGATTAGCTCTCCTCTCCCTTGGGGCTCCAAATTTGGTTCCATTTTTCACACCGAAAACAACATTTTCCCTTTGACGGTCATTACATGAAAATTTCCAATCGGCCGAAGCCGGTTTTGTAGCAGGTTTGTAGATAGCAACTCCGTCCTGGTCGTACTCATCCTCCCAATCAGACATTTTAAGCTTGGCTACCCAACAGCTACCTACGCACTACTTCAGTAAGCGCAATTAACGGTCGAACAGTGAATTCGCGGACGGCGCCGCGTTAACGTCCTTCCCGAAAAGTTAGTTTTTCTAAAACTTTTTCATAAATTTACATCAGACGTGGCTTAAATTGTATAGAAAATTGTGAAATTTCAGATAAAAAGAATGCCTAAGAAATATCCATTTGTTAATTACCCTACCGTTTAGAGAGTTGAAGGCTATAGATTCACAATGTTCCTTTGTCTTCTTATAAATAAGATTAAGAATTTCCACCAAAAAAGACACAAAAACAAAAAAGTTCAGATAACCTGTACTTTATTAATGAATAATAAAATTCTTTGCATTTCTCATCCAGAGAACATAGTGTGCACTTTAATAAATTAATTTCAAAGAAATAATAAAGTTAACATTATCAAGCTTTAAGGCCAGTTGTGTAATAAATTATCGTTCAAGCAATACAGAAATGGTATTATTAGCCATCAAAGCCATATAAAGTCTGTGACCAAGGCGACATAACTTAAGTGAACTGGATGCCCAACTGAAAAGCAGGAGTTTGACTTCAACTATACAATATGCATAGTCTGTAGGCAAACGAGGCCTTTATAGCTCCGTGAAGAAGAAAAAAATAATAGGAGGATTCTCAAGCAATATACCGACAGCAAAAATAGGCATGTTTTCTTTGGGAGGGGGAGGGCAACAATTGCAGTTTTTAAGGTTGTCCCATCTGTGTTTGGTGTTTTGCTTCATTGTTGCTTATGGATTTGGCCTGTTCTCATTTTTAACAAAGCTCAATCAATAGCTACAACTCAAATCTATGTCAATATTACATAAGCATAAACTACAATGTCACATTTCCAGGTCAATCTCAACAGAAACACACTGTGCTTTCATGATGACAATATATTTTATCATACCAGAACAACTTCTGCATGGTCTATAAAACACTTTAAAATCAGTCTACAAGTGTTAGCAGTTGTCATTTGACAGAAGATAATACTCGCTATATTCTTTTATAGGATGTTAATATTCTAAGAAATGCACTTAACTCTCTGGGGATATAACAGAAAAAATGATGAATAAAAGGACACGAATAGCACAAACAATACATTTTAAGACTTCTGTGACAACATACAAAACAAATCAAAATGACTAACAAAAATGAAGATGGCTGACATAGTTTTTGTGCATAATTCTCATTTAAACACCAGTCAACCTATCTAAAAGAAAGAAAGGCAGCAATACAAACACTGTTTATTAAGACACTTTCAAGACACCAGTTTTTCAAAAATCTAACACTGAAAACATACAAGCCTCTACATCTCCTTAAAGATTAAATGTACCATAATATAAACGGTCCACTTTAGTCATTTTCGAGATAGTGACAATAAAACCCAGAATGGTTAAATATTCTAATTAGGACTGAGGTGAGTGAGGATGAAGTGCGTACCAACATCCTGGTGAAAAGAGTCCTTATATAAGCCACATATAATCTCAATCTAAGATCAGTCTTCATCAGAGAAGTCACAGAAAATATCAATGAGGTTTTTCTAGTTTGATCACAACGAATGGCCTTTAAATGTTGTAGTTTTGTCATAAAATAGTAAGTGGGTTATCCACATAAGTAGCAACAGAGGTTTTAACTTCTATCAAATTAGTTCAGATAATATTGATCATGTAGGCAGACTTTGTTCGTACCGTTTTGTTAAAAGTTTGGAGCAAACATTATTTTGACATGCAGATGGAGGTCTGAGTCACCAGGAAATGCATGAGCACTTTTGAATTACAGCTTAGACATGCAGCATCTCATGCTTGGCTGAGAAAGCCCACTTAAAAGTCTACCACAGTTCAATATTCAAAACAGCTGCATCCAACTTACTGGGCTACTATCCAAACCAAGTGGGAGAAATTCCAACACTTGTTTTAAGTCAGTGCTGATAGGACATTTCTTCCCATTAGGTCTGCTGCATTCAAATTTAGTTACAGTTTGCTGACAGATTAGACCAACAATCCAACCACATCAACATTAACAAACACTTCAGCAATTGTAGGAAATGAAGAAAACGAGATTTCTGTAGTCTGCACACATGCAACCCTGGTTCAACCTTTAAGTTTTTATACTTCAGCTGTTTTTCTCACACCAGGCCTCACCCTTTATTCCCTTTATTTATATTTCGTTTTTCAAACTGTCCATGTAGTGATATGTATGAAAGCATAGAGTAAGTAAAAGATGAAATTTTAAGTTGCCAAAGACAGACAGTGAACTAGCAGAGTGAGTGACTCTCTGCTTCTTCCAAGAAAAGTTCTTAGTCAGTCTCAGCTCTTTGTCATGTTGGCCTTTCTTAGAGTAGTAGTAGTTATTGTTAATGGTCACAACTGTCAGAGTGTAAAAGAGTTCGGCGGATGTGCATGTACATGTGATTGCTGGTTTCACCACGTGCGTAGAAGCTGACCAATGAGTTAGAGTGAAGTAGTTCTGGCTGTGAGACAGTTATTCAGCATTCTTCTTCCATTATCCTTTAATTTGTAAAGTGAAAAGTTAGACTCGAAACTGGGTTTGCTGCTGAGTCAGACTCAGCAAAAATGTAAAATTGTTGGACAGTAACCGTTTCTCACAATGCGCCCCATTATTTGATTGGCATCTACAGCTTTTCCAACAAGTCTGGATCTAGAAATAAAATTAGGATTCCTTCCAAGATTCCTCTTCAAATTAAGCATCTTTTTCTTTAATTTATGATAGTAAATATGAAAAACTTGGTCATTTTTGTATAAAAACAAAATATTGTTTTTCCAGTAAGGTTATTTTCATTTTTGTGTATTGATTGTATATTTTGTCTTACATGAGTATGGCCACTTGCATACATACGTGTACATTCATTTACTGTATAGGCTGTAGTAATTTTAGTACCCTATGAAAAGTGTGTATGCAACTGGGAATAAAAGTGTTAGACAAAATATCAAAACATTGTTCATATAGAAAGGATTTATTTGTAAAACTTGCAACATAATCTGTTTACTGCCCTGTAAAAATATTTTAAAAAGTGGCTTCACCCACAGTGGTGTTTACATACAGTATGGAAATGTGTGTCTGTCAGTAAGTGTGGTTATGCCAGCTGTATGTGTGAGGACTGACTGAGAAACTCTGACTTTCCTTTTGGGTGAGGTGCAGCCTCCTCCACAGTCTTTAAAAGGTCTGAGGTGCTGCTTCCAGGTCCCTGTGACAGGAAGTCGAAATGTTCCTCTGATGTTTGTAATTTGCACTCTCTAATAAAGAGTTTTGTATCATCCCAGTTGTTAAGATCATCATGGGCAGTGCTGCGTTCGCTACCATTGCTGCTGCTGCTGTTGTTGAGTGCAGAGGAGAGACCAGGGGCACGGTTGGTCAAAGGTTGACTGAGGTTCTGCACAGAGATCGACTTCCCAAGACCACCTTCCCAGTCTGAAGCCATCCCATCTGGGCTCGAAGAGAGAAGCAGCAAGGGCTTCACCTCAAGGCTCATGTGCCTCCTCCAGACCCCCTCAGCTTTCAAGCCAGGCTTCTCCCGCAGCTGAACCGTTCCCTGGCCAAAGGCTGCCTCGTTGTCACCTTCTTGGTCAGAATCCACACTGCATCCTACAACAACAGAGGGGCCAGAGCTTTCCTCGTCCACTGCCACTCCATCTGTCAGATCATCTGAGATCGGGTCAGCAGGGCATCGGAGGTGAGAGGGATGTACCATAGGGGGGAGTTGAAGAGTGAAATTCCCCGTCGAGGAAGGTGGGGGCGGCAGATCAGGGAAGTGTGCTTTTTTCGGGGTACCATTGGTGGTGACCAAAGTTGGATAAGGGCTATCAGGGGGCAGCAGAGGTGATGGGGAGAGCGAGGCTGTGGATGGTGGATAGGATGGAGGGGCTGAGTCCGGAGGAGCATCATCATCAGCTGGTGCCAGTATGAGCCGCAAGCCTCTCGGGTTGGGATTGAGAGAACGACGCATGCCGCCACTGTTGTGTCCTCCGCTTCCAACAGGCTCACCTCCCTGATGGGAGGGAAGATCCCTGCCAATGATTGAGGTCGGGTAGTCCGAGTTATGATGCTGGTTCTCCAGCTCAAACAGGGGGAGGGAGGAGAGGGTGAGTGCTGAGGGGCCTTTCTGTAGGACTTGGCGGTAAATATCCAGCAAAGAGTCCAGCTTTGATTCAATGGAAGTTACCTAGGCACAAAAGAAAAGAGAATAAGAACCAAGGCTGAAAGAGCTGAATACTATTCTGTAAATTTTCTGGGGGTTTCCAATACAGATAAATTGATACTGTTAAAAGCAAAATTTCACAGGTATTGGTCAAGAGCCCAAACAAATCACCAACAATGTGAGGTAATAAAAGTTTATGAATGCATTTTACATGCATTCTGTGTTCCTTATTTTTTTTTCTTAAACCCACCTGCCTCTCCACCTTACACACACGTCCAAGCATGCTCATGCCCTCTAGGGAGTCTCCATCTGGGTGCAGTTTGTCCCTCATTTTTTTATCCACAGGAATCTGGCCTTTTCCCAAGATCTGATCCACCCTGAGATACACACATACATTAGGATTATTATACTAGAAAATAATGACGTTGTAATATAAGAAGGCATCCCTGCTGTATTTCAGGTTATCTGCAGTCAGACAACAAACCTAAAGCAACGGAAGGCTAAGGTTAGGGTTAGTAAAAAAAAACCCACACATGGCTTGAGTGAATTAGTGCTATAGTATAAAAACAACTATGGAAAAAAAGGAGGAAAATCTATGGGAAACTCAATTTTAGGATCGGATGTAATACATTTTGTAGCAGTTTGTTTGTGTTTGCATTTTTTATTTATTTTTATTGAATATAAAGCATATTTAATAAAAAAAAAAAAGCTCTGAGTGAGCTGCTTCTTGCAGTGCTTGATTTAAATTATTGTCAGATTATGTCAGAGTATTCATTCAATGGCTGTCTTTGTTCTCTGACAGTTAATTATGTTCAGTTAGTGAAGTTAATTTCCATACTTTGAGTTCCAAAGTAATGCACAGGTGCCTGTTTTCACTCAGGAAAAAATAAAAAGCACATCCAAACCGCACACAACTGCATACAAATCAGCAGCATTCACATACAATAATGTTTCTACTCTCTGATGAAAGGAGAAAGAATGAAGTGTGGAAATACAGATGAGATCTAATGTGATGTCAGACAGCTGTGTTTGGGTTTGTTTGCATTTACTTCAAATATTTATGTGTCAGACACGGTTAATAAAAACCTTACCATGTGGATGGAGTTTAACATATTAAAATCATCAAGTTTTGGGTTAAATTAAGGAATTGAATTGTACTGCAATTTAATTTGCCTTTCAGTTATTGTCAAAACCTTCTGGTATTAACTACATGTTCTTCTGTAAACTCCAACCATCTGGTTCTGCGGGAAGGTTAATACATTTCAGATATTTTATATCTGCTCGCAGTAACCCGATTTCCACTGCTATAGCACTTATTAGCAGCTATGGCTGCATGTGGCAGGATTTTAAAGTCTAAAATTAAATTAAGTGAAATAGAATAACCCTGAGCCAGAAAGCTTCTTCATGTGGTTGCTGTAATAATAGTGTAGTGCAGGAGAGGACATATTCCTTGGCTGGGTGCGACCAGAGTCTGCTGCACTGGCCAGTCTGGAGATAGGAAAAAAACTGGATCAGGCACTTCTCTCTGACTTAACACCATGAAGCTTTAAGCACAGGTACATAAATGAACAGATACACACAGAGGTGAAGGATGGCATTTTCAAATGAATGATTTTTTGTTTATGAGGCCGCCTAATGCCGACTGAAACACAGGTCGACTGGCAAAAAATAGTATTTCTCTACAAGGTGATTCCTAAAATGCTTTTAGTCAAAAACATGGCATGTTTCAGCATGCTGTGCAGTGTGTCCTGCAATTAAGGAAACTGGACAGATAGAGGACAAAAGAAGAAGCGGTAGGCCTAAAACCATATCTACAGCAGAAGAACAACATTTAAATGTCTATCATTAACAAATAGGAAAAAAAACTGTACAAAGATCTGACACAGAACTCAAGATTTGCATCGAGCCCTTCAGTTAATCCAGCTATTGTTTGATGTTGCCTCATCAAAACCTATCTCAGTAGAAGGGTGGTAGTCAATAAGCCATTGCTAAGGAAGGGAAAAAGGGAGAAAGCAAGAACTGGTGTTATTGAGTGATGAATCCAAATGAGAAAAGTTTGATTCAAATTGTCAGCGGTCTATACTGAGGAGGTCAGGAGAGAAGAAAACACTGACTGTACACCTATTTATAAATAACGTGGTGGAGGCTCTGTCTTGATTTGGGGCTGCATTTCAGTCACTGGTGTTGGGGATCTTATCAAAACTAAATTACAAATGCAGATGAGTACCATCAGATTTTAATCCACTGTGCAATACCATGCGGAAAGCAATGGCTCAATTCATCAGCTTGACGATGATCCCAAACACACTGCTAATGCAGTCAAAGCATACCTGAAAAGAAAACCACGCACCATCATAGACTGTAGGATCATCTGGACAGAGAATAGAACTAAAGGCAGCCAACATCCAAAGAAGAGATTTGTAATGTCCTTCAAGAACCTGGAAAACTATTCCTGAAGACTGCTTTAAGAAAATACTAGAAAGTTCACCTAGAAGACTTCAGTCTGTGCTGAAGAATAACGGTGGTCATAGTAATGTGTGGCATGAAGCTATGTGTATGCCATTTTGACAGACTTTTCACCTAGAAGGCCTGTGTTTTCTATGTGTCCACTTATTAAGTCAGTGAAATGATTACTGCACCAAGATTGCTTCAAGTATTAAGATAAGTTATATTTGTACATTTGGCTGAATTAGTTCAAATACATCTAAGCATATGCAAATTCAAACTGGCTGGCAAAGTTAGTAGGGAAGCGTTTGGCAGAAGGATCAGAAAAGGGGGTGAGTCTAACCCCGGTGTCGACCGTTTCCTGCTGGTCTGGCTGTAATATAAATGCAGGGAGGGAGAGGAAAAGGTCTTTCCACGGCTGCGCAAAGGCCTTGGAGGAGGACCCACTACAGAGTCTAGTCTGGGAGAGAGAGGGAACACACATCTACACATATGTATTTAGTTTGGAAAAGAAATATGTACTTAAAAGAATGTTAAAGTTTAAAGTTAATTTATAATGATTTTCTGTGACGTGCTATATAACCTATAGCGTTAGCTCGAATTGCAGCAAAATCAACACATAGCAGCTCAGGTTATTGATACATCTATAAATTCCTTGATTTTGAAAGCAGGAACACAGAAATCTGTCAATATCAATCAATGTGCATGCCGTTTCCTGACCTGGTCTGAAGGCTCTTGATGCGACAGAGCATATCCAGGTGACCTGCAGAGTACTGCTCAATCACGTCCTTCACATCATACGGACGCAGCGTCTCCTTAAACTTCTTCTTTGCTACGTGGAACTTCATGATCCTATACATGCAAAAGACAAATACACACACAGTGATTGCTGGGAGTCAATTTAAGTGAAATCTAGGGTGTAATTACTAAACACCACCATTAGGTGGCAGCAGTAAGTTTGAGAAAACCTACAGAGAGGTTCTTGTGCTTCACTGTTGATCTTTTCTTTTTGGAGTGTAACAAAGATAACACAAAATTTCAAATACTTTCTGAAGTATCTGATGGAAAACCAGTGCGTAATGGCGAATTTGTGAAACCTGAGTGTAATTTTCTTTCTCCTTTTATTTGGTGAACAGAGCCGCTGCTGAGTAATAATATTGATCCAGGTAAGGAGATCTATGCCTCTTGGTTCATTTAGAGTCCCCAGTGGTTTCTGGTAGTTTCCCACTGCCTATTTTTCTCACTGCCTAAATGGAAGCAGCAGTGACAGATGACCCTGTGTAATAACAGCCCTGACAGAGGAGGGGGTCTCCAGCCCTCAACCCGACACCCTGGGAAAACCCTGGGATCTGGCTGCCCATGGAGAATGGCCTGCTGAGTGTGCAGACCAGCCAGGGTTAGGTGGCAGCAGCATAGCTCGTAGATGGGAGTTTATCTGTGCAACTGTATGTAGATCTAGAAAGAGATGATGATGGTGATAGAGTGGTTTAATAAGCTTCATTATACAAAAGGATGATATAAAGTCTTTGCATGTAAACCCCTAAACTTGACAATAATCCAGATCAGATAAAAGAATGATTGAGTGGATACTGTTACTGAACTATCAAAAGGTTGACAGAATGATTTCATTCGCTTAAAGAGTGGATTACAAAAAGATTCCACTCAAACTGTTACATAACTGACTACTCTCCATTAGGCCACAACGATAAAATCTGGTAAATGAAAAATCTGACATAGAAAGAATACAATTGAGTTTAAGATCAATTGTAAGATACCTCAGAAATGCATAAACAAACTTATAGCAAATGCCTGGAGAAACAAATGTGAGGTTCTAAAGGGGTTGTAAGTATACTTACAACCCCTTTAACCATTTATATTAAGTGCATGTGCTTATTTTTCCATAATTCTATATAAAGATGACAACTGAACAGAAGGAAAACAAACAAAAAAAAAGCATGGAACAAAATGCAGGGATACTAGCAGTGGCAACAACTATTTGAAGATGGAAAACTGAAAATCATAATTTGGCTTTTTATCTTGTATCAATAATTCAGAGCTTTTATTAAGGGCATGCCAGGGGTTTCAGGTTTTCACACATGATTCATTGTCTTTTTATTACTGAACTATTATTGAACCCCTGCCTTAAAAAGCTGATAAATGTAAATTGTTTTAATGCTGAATTTATCCAGTTTTTACCTCGTCAACAATCTGTCTCTTTATTATATAGAAACAATCGAATTCATGATCTATAAAATTGAGGCAGCAAAATTTTAATTCTTAGTAAACCATAGAAAATATAGAAACTACAGCTAAGTAGGCCATTTAAAAAATACTTCATTCATATATGAAATTAGACATTTGCACAATGAAAAAAGGTGAGAAGAAGCGGTGGAGTGAGAGAGTCATCTGGTGCTAGTAGGATAAACACTTGTTCACAGGGTGCCGGTGCCAGTGAAAGAGAGCAGGCTCAGCTAGAACACATCTGCACACTATATTCATGCACTATAGCAGTCATAAATACGGGTCAGTGCCGTCACATTACCAGTTGATTGGGAAGAAACTCTTGACTTTAGAGAGCACAGGAGAGGTAAAACTACTAAGATAAAAAATAAATATGTGATCAATAGCAGTATTATTAGTTCCAACATGCAGGACATATATGTAAAAGTAGACAATAAATCTACTCAACAATTTAGTTGGATTGCTGATAAAGGGTAATCTCAAACTTCATTTCAATAAACCATTATCTTTTATAACCAATTATAAATAATGGGTTTTATTATTAGCACAAACACTTTAGTTAGTCTGATTAAAAGGACTAATTTAGCATTTTGGAAAATATTCTCACTTGCATAATTGTTAAAATTAGTACAATTTAGCATTTAGCAAAGAAAAATACTAATAACATCATCCTCTTTAATTTTAGTTATTATTACCGTTACAGTTTCAGCACCAGCAGCTTGTTACACACCAAGTGTAGACTTTGGAAACCTGGTGCTTCTGTGCAAGAAACTGCAGGAACATTTTCTGGCATGTCTTGCTTCAGAAGCCAAAAAGAGCTCATTTGCCACTTTTTCATCAACAGCAAAAAAAAAAAAAAAAAAAAAAAAAAATACAGCTTAAGTAAGGGTCAGCCAAATAGCATCACCAAATCCCTACTAATTGATTTTCCCTGAAATTGCTTAACATTCGATTTGAACTTGATTTTTTCCTATGCCTGCTTCTGAGAACTACTGGTATAATATTCTGAAGTCTACTAATTAGTTGACTGTTGGTCTGCTGGCGGGTCTTTGAAGTGCATGTGGTAGTATATAAAGAGTTTCAGCGTTCTGCTCTATTCGTAGTTTAATCAAATATTTCTGTTAGGTTTAGACTTTCTGATTTATTTTCTAGTGCTTCAGAATTATTTGGCACAGGGTTAGATCTTTGCATGTTGTCCTTGTACCTGTACTGCTTCTCTCCAGCTACCCCAGCGTCCCTCAGCTTCTCTGCTGGTTAAGTTAACTGGCAATTATAAATTGCATTTTCTCTTCACTTATATTTAACTTCCTATTTTTCACCTGGTTTTCTGTTCCCCACCTGCAGAGGTTCTGCAACCAACCAAAGACTCTACGCCCCACAGTTTAAGAACCACTGGTATAATATATTGCAGCCTGTAATTTAGCTAGCTATTTGTCTGTTGGCTGCTCTTTAAAGTGCATATATTAGACTAATCAGAGTTTCATGGTTTTGTTGAATTGGTTCAGACCGTTCTCATCCCCAAGGCCTCAATTAAAGCTGTTTTGTTAAAAGCTTACGTGGCTTATTAAGTCAGAAGGTGTCCTTTTGGTGGGTTGTGCTCTTATGGCATTAGTGAGATGGGGCTGTCACTCCCAACTCATCAGCAGGTTTGCCAGGAGCATATTTTAAACCAAACACCAATCTTTTACTGAATTTAGTTTTCAGTGCCTAAGCCTAACCAACAGATGACAGTGAAAGTAACATGTAAAAAAAGCTAAAGAGAAAAGCACAAAGGTCCCAAAAGGAAATCTGTGAGATCCTCTTTCCTTACAAACATGCAGCTGTCACTGCCTCCTAATCCTGACTTTGTAAGGACCATTATCTATGGTGACACTGACACAGCTGATTCTAACGCACTAAGACTCATGTATACTGCAGAGGCACAAAGACATCTCAAAAAATGGAATTATATTATACCCAGGGATCCAAATGTGCAACGCGCAACATCACTGCAATCTCCTACCCCTAACAAAATGATGTTTCCATTATTGCTGCTTTGAACTAGAGCTTAGAAATAGTTGTAGTTTCAGGGTTAAGAGTATATGATAGAAGATAAAGGTAGCCCACCTGACACCACAGATGGTTTGTGCACTGCTTTTAAAAAAGGCCTAAATTTGAAATTGTAATTTTGTTGCCATTTTTTAACTAGACAGCAAGACAACAAGTGGGTAGAGCTCGGGAGTTATCATCTTCACATTTACCAAAATATGTGATTTATTTTATCAATCTTGCCATCCAGTTCTCTAAAAAGCAATTATATATCTAAAGTGTTAAACAACAAATGAAAACAAAAGCTGTGAAAAGTGAGACGTGACTGAGTTTTGGCACCTAATGTGAGTGAAGAGGATAATGGATAAAAGCACGATTTTGGAAAGCTAACTGCAGAAGTGACCTCCCTATCTGTCTTATTTTCGTAATAGTACTCCCTATTTTCGACATTGTAAGAAAATTCAATAAAATCTTCTTGAGTGTGACTGCATATTAGCATCTGAATGTGTTTTTGCTGGTTCTTTCTTCTTCAAAAAAGAATTGCTCGCCCAAAGTCTTCAAGCAGTTTGGTGATTTGGGGTTGATTTTGATTACCTCATAAAGCACTCATAAAGTTTATTTGGAGCAGGACCTCACCTGACAGCTCTGATGACAGCCTTGAGAGGTGCTGATAGATCCTCCACAGTAACATCGCAGTGGCACCCTCGCTCATCAAAGGATTCCTCTGTGGTCATGCCTGTGTCCACTGAAAGAAACAGAGTGTTGAGTCATCAACAAATGTTGCTCTGCTGAAAGCATCTGCAGTCTTGAAACTCAAAAACCTTTTGCAACTTTCTGCAAGCTGGAAGAGAAAAGAGTCTGTGAGAATGTTTCCGAATGATACTATTTTGACTTTTAGGAGGTGAAAATCTATATTGTGTTTGGGATATTTAAGACAGGAACAAAGAAACTGACATATTTTTGCCACCTCCGCGATATAAGATGGAAGAGGAGGGTGTATATCCTTGATACTACCGATAACAATTAGAGTGGGAGATGTGGACCTGAAGAGGACTAAATAAGCATTATAAAATCATCAATTTCAAAATTCTATGGAACCTCAAGTTATAGCATTCACAAGATTTTCAAAAAACTTGACCTCTGAACTTAATCTAAAGGTCAAGGTCACTGAGATTCGAACTTGTCCAAAATTTTTAACAGATACACCTGTGGTATAAATTTGAAGCTGCTATGCTGCTTTGTTCTCGAGCTATCACATTCACAAACTTGGGTGTGGGTGGATGAGAAACCCTGGCTTGTAATTCAGTCAGGTTGTGGTCAGGACTCTGTGCAGGCCAGCCAAGTTCTTCCACACCAAACTCGCTCATCCATGTCTTTATGGACTTTGCTTTGCTCTGCTTGTTAGAACAGGATGCGACCATCATAAATGGTTACCACAAAGTTGGCAACATAAAATTGGCAAAAAATGACAACAAATTAAACTGGACATAGCAATAACAAATAATCAGCTATATTAACAATGAATTGTAATGTATGGATTTCCTCAACCAAATTTTTACCAAACTATAATTAACCACAGGGCAAAATGTTTGTTTGAGGAAATGAACAACCTTGGCACAGGAACGATGGCATAGAAACTTGGAAGAATGGATTCCACTAAATCTCTTCTAATCATATAAGTCTGAGTGCAAATGTCACACAGTCAGTTAAAAGACTGAACCTGAAAGGAGGCAGGGCAGTGATCCAAAACATATCTCGAACTACTTCACAAATTTAGGGGTAAGATAACTGGGTTTTCAAACGTGCTACAATACTGTTGAATTTATTTTACTTAACTTGTTTGGGTTATATTTAAGGTAATGTCTTGAAAGGTGTAACTCCACAGGGCATTTTACATATACTCCCATATTTCTTCCATATTTCTCTGAAAGTGTCATTTGTCAGATATTGGTTTGGTTGGTTACAGTAACATTACAAGCTCACCATCTGGGACAGCTGTACGAGGCTGGCTCTTCAACCTCAGAGACGGCCTAAACCGGGTCCGATCATTGAAGCTCCAGCTCTTCTGCACTTTGGCAGGGCTGCCGCCCATCAGTTCTGTGCTGCCCACCATCTCGTTGCCAGGGGAACAGCGTTGGCGGTCATTCATGGACGTCTGCCGACTCTTCATACTCTGACCACGAGGGCTCGCCATGCGGACCCGTTCCTTAAAGCTCAACTTCTGACTGCATGGAGGGAGAGAAGACAAGAGAGAGAGAAAATAGCAGAGGAGCAGAGAAGATGACAGCGGATATGGTGAGAAACATTCATATCAGTAGAAAGGAAAGAGGTAATATAGTAGGAAAGTAGGAAAGATGTGCGAGAGAAAAGACACGGGGGGGGTAGGAGGGACAGAAAGAATGATCAGATATAGAGAGGAAAAAGTGAAGAATGTGAGTTAAGGATTGAAGTGACAAAGAAAGAGCTTATGTGTGACACAGATTGGGGTTCAGAGAGAGACACTAGGAGAGAGACAAAAAGGGGATGCTGTCAACACCTATTTCCCCTCAGAGAGTGAGAAGAGTTCAGAGCTCAGACAAAGGGCACTGTTCTGTCTTTTCCTTTAGACCAAACATCATCCATCCAACTGACATGCCCAAAACACCAGAACAGTGCCAGACTGCCTACCAAGCCACCAAAAACAAACCCTCAGTGATCCTGAGGTGTTGTAATCGTCATTCGCAGCTGAAGCATAGTAACATTACCGTCATCACCACGGTCATTTTTAATCGACATTAAACAAATGACACCATTATTGAGAAAAAGCCTCTAAAATTTCTAGATGGTGCTTGATCTTTTATGTTTTTGGACAAAATCTTAATTTAGATTTTATTTTCTTTACTTGCAAAAAGAACAAGATTTTTCCAAGACGAATGTTGTTGCCAAATCGCTTCCAGCATGGTAATTAATAGTCACAGGTAAGTCTACTAAAACCAGTATCAAAAGGTTAATCATTAATGAGGTTTTTTGAAGCATATAACTGTTTAATGTAGTTATTTATGATCACATTTTCACTTTTATTTCTATTAAATCAAACAAACTTGGTCTTCCTCTATCACCCCAATTTTTGTCAGGCTAAATAAATACCTAATGATATCACAAACATTTAAAAATGACAAACAAAAATGAAATTCATGACATAATGTTCACATCTTTGGAAACCTTTAAGGGGCTGCTGGGTATGCAGAAAGTTCAAAATCAATGAGATGCACTGCAGCAAACTATTACTGTATGCTTCTTGGGCAAATTGATCAGCATGCAATGCAGCAGATCGATGAGAGAGATGCAAAGCTCCAGCACAATTTCCATGCCAAAAAAAATCATCTTTTTGTTCAGACCACAGTATCTCACCTGAGATTCAGTGATCAATTTACCAATTTATCTACTATTGTTTCTTGAAACTTACAGACCTGTGCAATATTACCATTCCTTTCTCTTACTTGTGTAGCAACACAATTCAGTGCTGCAATGCACAAGCTAAAACTATAAATTATCACTGAGCAATACAGTAACGATGTGATATTATACACGTACTGTTATTAATAAACAGAAATAAAAATCCAATATTGTGGACTGAGACAAATAGTTGGAGAGAAATAGATCTTTTTGTGTTATCATAGTTTCCATCATTGATTGGCATAATGATTTAAATGGGAGGTACAGCAGTAATGTAACAGTGACGTTAACAGTAAATATAGAAGAGCTACATATATGCTGTTGAGAGATAATTTAGGATAACAAGCCCAGATCCATGATTTCTTTATTTTATTAAAGTGTCTCCCTGAGAAACTAGTATAAATATCCATAATTTGCAATTAAATGAAATCAAATTAGGAAAGAGTCGTGACAAGCAGCATGCCATAATGTCAGTTTATTGAATCCTTTTAAGAACAAAAGGGGTTTCAACATGCAATTTGTTTACTGCTGCATTTTTTTTCCTTAATCATATTAAGGAAAAAAAAAAATTGGTATTGCTTTTGAAAATAGTACCTTGTAAAACAAAGTCTACTTCTGCAATGACTTTAGGTGGAATTCCCTTTAATTTTTAATGCAGTAACAAAGACTTGTTTGGGATAGACAGGCAGCAATAGTCAAAGAGACAAATTCCTTTATGGGATAAAAAAAATAACCGGGTAAGGAAGCACTGTAAGAAGGCAGTTAAGTGGGGTTCTCTTTGTTCTCCTCCATGCCATTAGTCATTCATTCTCACAAGTTACTCTAAGGGCTAAGGGCAGGGCAGAGAGGATGCTGGGTAGTACTGTAGGTACCTCCTATATTTCCGAGAATACCTTCTGAAGAGCCTTCCATTACTTAGACCCTTACTAGAGCACAAGGGACAGATGAATGAAATGGAGGGAAAGGGATGGAGAAGAAAGGGATAAATAAGGGAGGATATTAAACCTGGAGCAGATTTCAGCTCACAGTGGAGAAATTCTCTACAGTCAATATTGATGCACAGCAAACACAGGGGCAGGGGATATAATTCAAAGAGGGATGGGAATGGGTATAACCACCTGTACTCAGTTTTCCCTCACTTTTGGGAAGACAAACATATTTACAGTACAAATCCAACAAATTTCCTGTCGGTGCCATTGTTGTTGGATCCCTGAGCTGCAGAGCTGGAGTCAGACTGGACATTTATCAGAATTTAAACTGACAGTTTATTAGTACAAAGTATGTCCAACTGAATCTATGTGCAAATACTGCATCCAATACAAGTAAACCAAATCCATATGTTCTGTCTCCTCTCCTCCCTTGTCTAAAACTTTAAATTAAAAGCTGCCATGCTTGCCAGTTTATTTGGCCCAGTTTGAAGTGAATGCTGGTTTTTCAACAGTGTTGTGGAATAAATAAATATTTTCACATGAACAGTGTCATTGCAAAGAAATGTTTTCTTATCAGGAAGGAGGTGAGTCGGCTAGAGATATAATTTCACACTTAAATGATGAGAAATAGTTCTCTGGTTAAAAATAGACAAAGGAAATGTTAGAAAAAAGACAAATTCTTTGGAAGTCTACCTACTACTATCAGTGGGATTGAGTTATACTTCACTGCACATGGAGGTATGAACACACACACACACACACACTCTCACACACACCTGTCTATACGCATAACCTAATGATTAAACCGCCGTTAATCTTTATTTCATGTTTCTTTTCACTGCCAATATCCAGCACACTTATGCTCAGCATGATGCCTGCTGTAGCACTTTGTGGTGCGCCTAATGTTTACTACTGCTGGTGTTTACAAGTCTGCTTACACAAAAACCACCAGCCGTTTACCACGGCACCTACCGCCGCCAAACAGCCACAGTTGGCAGTCTGTAAAACCACTAATAACAGAGAGTGTTATGAGTTCCCTTGGTGGAGGAGAACATTTAGAAGAGAAGCAGTGTCATAAAAGTGTGCATAATTATGATTAAACGAGTGTAAATTGTTTCTTAGAAAGGAAAACCTAATTAAACACAGTCTTTTAAACAGAAGGATTTCTGGGGAATTAATGTTGTTGTGAAAGCAACAAAGCCTAATTAAATGCTATTTTGTTTAAGGATGAGAAGCACATTTGCTTGTGTGTTTGACTGAGAGTGTAAACTGTTTTTTTTATATACGTATGTGTGGTGGTGTTTTAAGTTTAAATGCCTTAAAAAGCTGCTGTCTCAACATAAGGTCCCCAAATGTTGCCAAAGAAGTGCTGCACTGTAAAAATTATACTAGCATAATTAAACTCACAAATCTTTCTCTGTCTTTTTCCCCTCTCTGAAATCCTCTATCTCCCCTCTCCTCCCTCTTTTTCAACTTTGGTCTGTCTCTTCTAGACTTGTGTTTGATGAGTTATATAAATACAATCCCAATGGAAAATGTGCGTCATGGTACAGACATGGTACAGGCTCCTGTGTTTGAAGAAGGGTGTGCGTTCATATGCACACACACACACACACACACACACACACACACACACACACACACACACACACACACACACACACACGCAGACACACGGCAAAGACAATCACCATCACAGTTTATGAACTGAGATAGAAAATTGAGGTAAAAAAAATTGAAAGAAAAAGCATTCTGTTGTTTCACAAGATTGTTTGAAAGTAGCACTTGTTTGCTGAGCAATTGCTCATAATTAAAAAATTGTCTCCATTACCACACTTCTGCCTACCTGACTTTTAAATTCTGCACAGTCTCTGCACCATATGTGTGCCTGCATGTCTGTATGTGTGTGTGTGTGTGTGTGTGTGTGTACCATGTTTACATATCTTTATGGGGACCAAAACTTGAATACTACTACACTTGTGGGGACCAACAGTCCCTTATGGGGACAAAATGCACGTCCCCATGAGTTTGAAGGCATTTTTGAGACTCAAAATGTGGTTTTACAGTTGTTCTCAAATGCTAAAACACAAAAGCCAATCCTCTAAACCAGGGGTGGGCAACTCCAGGCCTCGAGGGCCGGTGTCCCTGCAAGTTTTAGATGTGTCCTTGAACCAACACAGCTGATTTAAATGGCTAAATTAGCTCCTCAACATGTCCTGAAGTTCTCCAGAGGCCTGGTAACGAACTAATCATGTGATTCAGGTGTGTTGACCCAAGGTGAGATCTAAAACCTGCAGGACACCGGCCCTCGAGGCCTGGAATTGCCCACCCCTGCTCTAAACCAAATGACCGGTTGTCTAAACACATTTACTAAATCTAGCCATCATTTACCAATATCATAAACACATGTCACATGAAGACACAAGTCACAGAACACAATCCTCCGTCGTCATAAATCTAAACACATCTTGCCTTGCTAAAACACAAGTTGCAAAAGAACTCTGCTCATCTTCTCAAATGAAAGCTCATGTGATGCAACATGCTCATGCCACAGTCAGCAATATTTGAACACAATGAACAGACCTGGCGTCATTCATTACACACAACGACTCAAAATTGAAGACACCTGTTGCTAATGCTGTGACCACATGTATAAAAGCAAGTTCAGAGTGCACAGTATGCCGAAGATTCCAAACACACAATGGATGAAGGCAGAGTCAGGGAAGAGGAAGTCGATGCAGAGGAGGGAGAAGAGCTGGCCCTGGAAGAAGAGGAGCAGGCCAACGAGGAAGAGGAGCAGGCCAACGAGGAAGAGGAGCAGGCCAACGAGAAAGAGGAGGAGGCCAACATGGGAGAGGAGAACGTCCAGGAGGGAGTGCAAGACAACCTCGCACCATCATTACGGACGAGATGCGAGCAACAGTCATTGACCGTGTCATTGTCCATGGCATGACAATGGCTGAAGCAGGACTAAGAGTCCGTCCGAACCTGAGTAGGTTCACCGTGGCCACCATTATCAGGGCATTCAGACAACACAACAGGTATTGTACTCGTTTGCTTTCTTTGTCACAATAAAGTTTTACAAACCTGTGAAAGTAGTCTATTGGTTTCAAATCAGTTGTGACTGTATTGTAACACATGCCAATTGACAACACATGTTTCTTTCTTTAGAGTTGAAAGAATGCCACATAGAGGTGGGAGGGTTGCCATATTTACAGCAGCACAAGAAACCCTCATTGTGGATATGGTTCGTGGGAACAACCTCATCAGACTCCGGGAGATCAGAGACAAAGTCATTGCCGATAATGTCAACTTTGAGAGCATTGACGATGTCAGCTTGGCCACAATAGACCGAGTTGTCTGGTGCAAAAAGACGCGGATGAAGCAGGTCTATAGGGTTCCCTTTGAGCGCAACTCTGCGCGACACAAAGACCTACGTTACGAGTATGTGCAAGTAAGTATCCATGTTCACAGTACAGTTAGTGGACATACTGTGTTGCTCAGTGGCCTACATTACTTCTGGACAATACTGTGCTACCTGATTGACTGTTGTTCTGAACACCTGTGCACTTTCACATTTTCACAGAGGATATTACAGTTGGACGTGATGACCAGACCTCATGAGTACCTCTTCCTGGATGAGGCTGGCTTCAACCTGCAGAAACAAAGGCAAAGAGGCCGTAACATCATTGGCCAAAGAGCCATCACTGAGGTCCCTGGCCAACGGGGGGTAATATTACCCTTTGTGCGGCCATGGGTTTGGAGGGGCGTGTCCACCGGCATGCTGTCCTTGGGTCTTACAACACCCAACGTCTCCTCACCTTCCTAGAAGAGCTAAAAGACATCCTCCTGGACCGCCAACAAGACCATCCTGGGCCCGCACATCACATTTATGTGATCATTTGGGACAATGTCCGCTTCCACAGAACAAACCAAATCAGAGAGTGGTTCACCACCAACAGTGACCACTTTTTAAACGTCTGTCTGCCACCATACTCCCCTTTCCTGAACCGTATAGAGGAGTTCTTCTCATCGTGGAGATGGAAGGTTTATGACAGACAACCATACACAAGAGAGAACCTAAGGGCAATGGAGCTGGCCTGTGTTGACATCCCAGCGGAGGCCTTCCAAGGATGGATTTGCCATTCCAGGGCGTTTTTCCCGCGGTGCCTGGCAAGAGACAATATAGCCTGCGATGTGGATGAGGTGATGTGGCCCGATGCAGCACAGCGACATGATGCCGCACAGTGATTGTGGTGTGTGTGGTGTGACTAACTTCACACCCTGATCATGTTTTCAGGAGTATTGTTGTTTGCAATAGATTCTGTTTTTGTGTTACAGTAGTGTACGTACATGCAGGATTTTCTATAGATTTATACTCTTCATATGAAACTCACAAATCTAAATGCCTAATCCTCTGCAGAGATCTATGACGATCCGTTACTGTATGGTTTCTAAAAATATGTAATTATGAAACAAAGAACCTTCTCACAAATTGAGCATTGTGTTTTCAATTGTTTTGCTGTAGTGTGTAATGATGTGTATATTGTTTACATTTTTGAAAGCTTCAAGCTGCTCTTTTGGTGTGAAAGTTTGAGTTTTGCAGTGGAAAGGTGTGGTTGTGTTTATGTAGCTTTAGAAAAGGGTGTTGTGTTTAGACATTGGGGAACATGGTGGAAACATTTGAAATGTGTTTTAGCATTTGAGAAAAACCATAGTGTCATGGTTACAATTAGGTTATGGTTAGGCTAGAGTTAGGCATTCATTTCTGATGGTTAGGGTATGCAGGTAGGGAAAGCATTATGGCAATAAGATGTTCCGACTAAGAAATGAAAACAAGATTGTGTGTGTGTTTCGAAACCTGTCATTCAGTCTATTTCAAATTTGCTAAGTATATCGCCTGGGCCCTGAGGAATTTCAGTGTCTGTTGTTGTTTGAATTGAATTGATATACCTTTATTAGTCCCACAAGGGGAAATTTCATATTGTTGGGTTGAGTGCTAGTCTCATTTGTGACCTCTTAATTATGTCACTGTTTTAGTTCAAATCAATGAACTGCAATATATTAGCAGAATTTCCTAACAGTGAAAATAAGTAAAGGGTGACACTGCACATCTGGTTTTCTTTTATCAGAACAAATCAGCCTTGATAATCATTAACTGTCCACTATTGCTCATTACCCTTTTTATGTTGTATCATAACACTGCAGCACAGCCTCTCTCTTTTTGAACAGTTTTTCTCCTCTCCAATTCATCTGGGCAATATTGTACATTTAGCATATGTCAAATCAAAACTATGGCTAGATTCTGTTAAGTAATGTGAGGGCAAATAAGGGTTCAGTCATTCCATAAATCAATAAAGAAACCAAGAAACTGAGCCTTTTGTCTCTGCCCTTTGATGTCAGCTGCAATCTGCAATAAATGTCACTAAACAAAAAAAACCATCCATTTCTTATTTGTCAACACAATCAAATGACAAACGAACTAAGACTGGAGTAAACAACCAGCTAATCCAGATAAGAGCAGAAATCAGTCTATAAAATGTGTAAGTCATTAAACAATCGTCTAAATAATCGAACAATTGTATCACATGTTAAGTTGTTTACGTGTTTGTGTCTTTGTCAGTATGAGCTGAGAGTCATACAAACCTGTAAGTAGCCTCGCCCTGCTCTTTCCTTTAAGGGTTAGTGGGGAAAAGAGGAGAAAAAGGGAGAGAAATCAGTAACCCAGCAGATTAAATGAGGATTGTAAAGATGTTGCCATTAATGGATATGGGAAGCATCAAGCCAAAAGGAGGCAAAAGGAAATAAATTTGAGTCCAATGGTTTAATTACTTTCATCACATGCAAGCAGCCATGCACCACAAGGCTAAATGTTAGGTAAAGGATAGACATGGAAATCAGAAAAGTACAGTCATGGTTTTTTAGGACTCTATGAAGTCCTGAGAAAAAACAAAGTACACCCTCACTGCTTCTACAGTAACTAAGAGGATAAGTAGCAGCCAGGTGCATGTGACTAACTGATCATCAGTAAGTGTGACCACCTCTATAAAAGAAGTATTTTGGCAGTTTCCTGATCTGGATCATTCAGCTACATGTTAACACAATGCCACAATCTTCTCAAGAGTAGATTTCAAAGCAAATTCAGCGCAGAGTTAGACCCTGCAATGATCAGCAAAAATACGCACAAAAAAGAGCTACATGTCAGACTCTACAGGCCTCAGTAAGCATGTTAAGTTACAAAAAACAGCTAAAAATCTATGGCTTATTTAAAGTGTTGCCAGAGGAAAGCCTCTTCTCTGTGAAAACATTACAACACCATGGTTTAGCTTTGCAAAGTTGCATCTTAACAAACCAAAAGACTTAAACAATTTAATTTGGAAAGACTAGGCTAAAGTGGAGCTGTTTGGCCATAATGCGAAGTGCCATGTTTGCAATAATCAAACAGCATATTACCACAAATACGTCGTACCAACTGTCAAGCATGATAGTGACCATGGCAACTTGCACTCATTGAGTTGACCATAAAGTATACCAAAGTATTCTTGAGTGAAACATGAGGATATCTGTCTGACAGATAAAGCTTACCCTAAACTGGGACACGCACCAGTGCAATGATGCCAAGCACAAAGTAAATCTATGAAATAGAAAACAATCAAGGTGCAGTCAAAGTCCACACTTCAACGTGAATGAATGATTCAATTCACATAGCGCCAAATCCCAACAACTGTCACCTGAAGGATTTTTAAACAAATGTCCACAAACCTCACAAACTGAAAAATTCTGAAAAACATGTGAGAGGCAGATGTGAATAGAAAATGATTAACTTAAGTTACTGTTTCTGAAGGTGGTTTTCTGAATCATGGGGTGTACTTTTTTTTTAACAGGATTGCATACAGTCGTGTGGAACCTTTTCCCCCCCACAAGACTGGTTGTATACTGGCACAGCTTCAAAAATGCAGGACAAAACAAATATTAGTACATCGCAAAACTCACTCATATTCATGCCAGCTCAATATTTCTGTCTGACTTGCTGAAAGTAATGTGCTAATTTTACCCAGGCTGAATTCATAGTTTAATTAAACATCAAGTCAGCTAGAATTTGAATTAATGGCATCTCATAATCTTTGGCATCTGTTAAATTTGTGCTACAGTCCAAAAAATTTAAAAAGTACTTTCTTTCTTTTTAATGTTGAAATGACCTTTGCCTGCATTTTCTTTTAACCTGTCTGGCAGGCATTTTCAGCACTAAATATTTACAAAATGTACTCAATCATCAGACAAATCTTATGTGTGAATCTGAGGATAGTGAAAGTTATGCCATCAGCAAAACATTCCAGAGTTTGGTATGCTTATGAAAAAAAGAACGTTACAATGATTCATAACAATGAGTTATGCAATGAAACAGCAGCCAAGGTTACACCAGAGGAGGTGAACACACACCAGGTGAGGAGGAAAAGATGAGAAGGAGGGCTGAGCAGCAGAGGCCATGATTGTAAGTCTGTAAGTTGTTACCTACTTGGCGGGGCTGCAGGTATGCAACGCCTTCAAATGAGGCTTCCAGGTAGCAATGGAAACCGAGTTCTCATCAGCAGCATAACTACGCCAGACACACTACGTGCAGAGTCAACAGGATAAATAAAGTAATGATAAATCGAACAATAAATGGAGCAAAAAAGGGGTGAGGGAGGATCATATAGGTTGGGTAGGAAGTGAGAGAAGAAAAGTGAGGAGGGAAAAAGAAAAACCTGATTAGTTTTCGGGGGGAGTGTTGATGCGGTGCGGTTGGGGGATGTTGAAGGGAGGTGGGGCAGTGATGGTGGTGGTGCTGGTGGAGGGGATACATGCCTGAGGGGGGGGAGAGCGCTTTGGTAGTGGTGCCAGGTGGCTCTGAGGTAGGGACGAGCACCGTCGGTGGAGTACATACGCCAAGCTGCCTGGGTGGGGGAGGAGCAGAGATGGACAAGACACAAACACATTCACATGTGCACACGCACGAACACACAGAAATGACACAAACTTGGTGAGGAAAAATAGACTGAGGTTTATGTGAAAACGTAACTTCCAGTTTAAAAGCCTGTAACCACCTGGCAGATATTGTGGAGGTTGTCCGTACAGACATGAAGAGTAAATTGTGTCATTTACAGTCACTGTAGTTAATTTGACATAGTTTCTCAAAGATATGAACAAAAGTGTGAAACCAGTGTTCTAATGCTATTCCATATTAACTTCTACTTAGGCAAGGAGTTTTTAAACTTTTGTCAAAGCAATGCTAAACTACAGAGACAGAGTGCAATCTGTTATATATGTCTAAAACATATCTGTATAAAATGCAAACATGGGCTGAAATGCTAACAAAAAGCATCAGGTTTGCTGGATTTCACAATATCAAAGGATTATTTTAGCACCATATGGCTATTAGCTGTAGGAAATCTAATGCTAGCTGGCCTAAGAAATATAATAAAATTAAAAATATCTTGGAGGCCTACCTTGGAGGAATATACCAGATTGTATTTGACCTATCAGTGAGAAATGTGCCTTCTACCTACATAAGCATGTTGACTCTCAGTTTTCCTATTTTTGCTTTTAATATGGTCTTTATAAAGGTTCAGTCATTCCTGTATTTATTTTTTTTTAATTTCAGCAGCTTTTAAAAAACATTTGGGTTTCTTTAACCCGTCGTAATACTTTCACACAAACATCTGCTCTTAGGCATTTATCAGTTTATTGCTGGCAGATGGAAGTGACAAGGAGACACAGCCGCCTAATACAAAGAGTGTGGAGAGCCGTGAATTGTTTTCCTTTTAGCTGTGCATGGATTTAATTGCTCTTTGTCGCTATGGTGATTGTACATCAGAAATTAAATGGCTTCTTGGCATTTAGATAGATAGATATAATTTTATTTCGAACATGCAAATATAATTGAAATAACAGCAGAAAAAACAAAAAACAAAACTTAAAAATCATCAAATTTTCATGTATATATCTATGTCTACAAAATATATGTGCTTTTAGTTTAGCATTTAGGCTAAACTAAAAGATTAGGACACCTTCTAAATTCAGTGCAGGAGAAATATTAAGTGCAACAGACTGTTTAAATTTATCTATGGAAATCGCGTGTTTGCTGGTAAAGTTATCAGCAAGTTGTAACAGTGGGGCAGGATGAGACATCAGTGTGTTTAGGGTGTTTGTCAGAGCCAGTGATGGACACAAAGTACTCTTTATACATCATCTTATTTAACTGAGCCGGTCATACAGTCTTCTATGCCAGATTAACAGTGAACCTAATTCAAAAGTAATAACTGATGAGGCCACAAGCTGTGTGCCACCTATCTTTTAAAGGTTGCTTCCTTTACATCGTCAACCATAATTTACTTGCAGCTGACTCAGCCTCCTCAAACTTGCCAGGTATGGTTACAAGATTTCAGACATGACTTGGAAAACCCAAATATAAACACTTCACACAGACAGGATGGAAAATTAACACTGACCACCTGCCAAACGCTAGTCAGTTTTGGCTGCTGATTATTATGTGGACAGTTTTTTTTATCATTTATAGATTCAATCTTGTTCTGAAAATTACACAAAAAGTTATTTGGCAAAACGACCATGACAGATGTTGAAATTTCGAATTGACCAGCTGTGAAGGCTTGAGGACAGTAGTAATATTCTGTTATGCACACACAGAAAATAGCGATTAAAAGCAGGGAGAGCTGCGTGAGATGAGGGGAGTGAAGCGACAGAGTAATGACGCCGTCCACATATTTAACACTTCACAGGTGCTTCCAAGTTTCCTTTTACCTGTTGAGGAAAATGTTATGAGCTTGGCAGATAACAGACAGTGACCAGATACTTGATACACAGCCAGTAAAAGAGGAACAAGACCAACACACTGGATTAATTGTTCACTTAGTGGGTTATTAAGGATCAGTTGGGCTCCAACTGGATTTCGTCTATGCTAACAACAGATATTTATACATAACAAGGAGATCAGACAAAACATTGGTTTGATTTAATGAATTATTCATATAAATATTTATGAAAACTTTACCCATATCATCCGACTACTTATTTGGAAGGGAAAAGCACCCATACCATGTGTGCGCATACAGTGAGAATAAAGTGGATCCATAATGCTATGTATAAATTATTTACTCATTTATTTTCATCAGGAAGATGCTGTCAAACAGATGGCAAAGTATCTAAGAAATTGTATCTTAATGTTACCATTAATTATTCACTAAAACACATGATATGCACCGACATATGCTCTATTTAGAACATAAAGAAATTACAACGGCATTCCCTGAGCTATCAGGTTGATATTAAGACCAGACTGCTGCATGTGACCAACAGTGAAGTTTAGTTTCCATTGTTTGTATGCTTTAGATTTCCTTTGGTTTAGTTTGATTGACATATTTACATTACTATGAGATAGTTCTTTACAAGCATGACAATGATCGCTCGGTTGCTTCGTCAAACGACTGACAGCGGATATGGGACAATGAGGGAAGAAAATGCAAGACTTCTTGGCCGCATTTGTAGATATCCTTGGAAAGGGAAAGATCTTGTCAGGCTACTATGACAGTCTAGAAACCCCTTCATTAAGAAACAGATGCAAATGATGACAGACAGTTTGGGTAACAATTTAGATTTCCAGATTTCCACTTCCAAATATGCAGTTTTAAAACTGGGTCAGCAGTAGAGTTTTGGATTTAAAGTGCGAGGAAGTTTTTGTCTAGCTGTGTCTAACAGTTGGCGAACTTGATACTATCATATTATCATAACTGATACAGATTAGAACAACATTCGAAACAGCAGCGTGAGACTCAGACGTTCGAGTTTGGATTCTATTACTGACCGGAAAATTTCAGAAAGTAGTGCAAGGTAGTTCGTAAGATAGGAGAAGGTAGACAGAACAGACAAACGCCTACACAAAAACAAACACATGCAGTCTCACAAATACATGCAAAAAAGAGACACACACACATTTAGCTGCGCACTTCAGGGAACACACTCCACAGCAGATATTTATTGTTCATTAGCAAGCAATGCAGCTGGTCTTGTCTATTACAATAAGTGATAGTTTGAAGGAGCGTCCGCCCAGGGAATGATCGCCATGGAAACGGCTCATAAATCCCAGCAGTGTGTGTTGCAGTTGGACCTGAGAGTCGGCAGTGTGCCTCACACACTGTTAGTCATCACCAACTACACACCTTGACAAGGCCGAGAAGAGCATAATACACACATACACACACACACACTCACATTAAGTACGCGCTTAATGAAACACCCCTTTAGGGGGCAGGGATAGCTCAGTAGGTAAAGTGGTCGCCCCATGATCGGAAGGTCGGCGGTTCGAATCCACTTAACGGCTACCCTGAGGTACCCCTGAGCAAGGTACCGTCCCTACACACTGCTCCCCGGGCGCCTGCTTAGTGGGCTGCCCACTGCCTCACTGAGTGAATGGGTCAAATGCAGAGAAAAACAAGTAATTTCCCCATGGGGATCAATAAAGTATCCATTATTATTACCATTATTACAGTAATAGATGTGATGCACACCTGCACTTCAACAAAGGGTAAAGAGTGGACACACTCATGCTTTTATTTAAAAACAGGCAAAACGGACGTGAACTACGCACAAATCCATGAACATTTTCACATAAAGGGAATTTTTTTTTCTATTCACACTGGTACTCAGCTGCTTCTACTGAAAAAAAAACATCAGTCGAGGTGAGGTGTGTTTGTTCTCTGCATGTCTGAGTATCTACCTGGATGAGGCTGGCAGCTGGGTTCCTCCTTTTTTCAAAGTGCTTTTGTCGATGCTGCTCCTGCACCTTCAGGGCAAAGCCTGAACCTAGGATGCCCTATGTGGAGAAAACAAAGACACACACTGAGTTTAAACTTGAAGAAAATTCACCATAGAGAAAAAAAGCACCTGCTCTTATTTGTGTAATATGTACAGATTATTTTGAAGAAATACAGAAAGTGTAATCAGTCATTGCGCCACGATGTTTTACTCACAGCTGGCAGGGCAAAGAAGGAGATCCCCAGCAGAGCAAAACACGCTGATAATAACCGCCCCGTCCACGTCTGTGGGGTCTTGTCACCGTAGCCAATAGTTGTAAGGGTGATCTGAAAGTTCAGAGGACACTACTCAAATAATCATAGCCAACATCATTTTATTTATACAATTTAACTCACAGGATGAAGGAAATTATATTTTTGCACGCTGAAATAAAAGAGACTCAACGCTTTCATATACACAACAGATATGAACATCAAAGCATGCATCACATTCACAGTATTGTAAAAGCGTACAAGTACAAGTAGAGACTGAGATGTGCACGTTTATGTACTGTCTGCTTTTTGGTTTTACTTCCTCAAATTTAACTGATATTCTTACAAAGACTGAAAAGTGCACAGAAGCAGTTCACATTATTTTATTACATTTAACAAAAACATCTTGCCTTCAAGGTACCACATTCCTATCTACATGGCTATAGTATTATTTGTTAAACTTCATTTCAAATGAATTTCCAAATATAAGTGATATTAATAATTTTTATAATCTTCAATAACCGGTAAAGACAAGAGTTAATTACTTTCAAACAAATTTCTCAAATGCACTTATTAAACAGAATTAAAGAACACCAACATCTGCTGAATGGCACGCTGTGCATCTCCCAAATGTTCATATTTTTCCAACCAGGGAATAAAAGATTAATCAGTGTGAAGGAAAATATCCTCAGCATTTCGAAAGCTGTGTGAAATGCAGGTTCTAAATCTGTGAAACTGGCTTCTGGATCTCTGTTTTTTCACCTTAAAATTAAATGTATCTAAACTTGAGCTTTTAGCAAGTATAATACTACAGTTTTTAGTGTCTACCAGACAGAATCTTCTCCAAGGTCGCAGCATGTGTCATTCCCACAAGCCGAATAGGCCAGTCGCACCTGGCCGCAGGAGAAAATTGACTTTATTGATTGGGCCGTTTCTTGTTTGTGTGTTGTCTGTGTCCATATTTTCAAAGGAGGAAACAGTGCGGTATAGCCAGCCAAGTGTGAATTTAAAGACCATTCTTCCTTGTTTTTGTATTGCAGGTGTCATTAAGGTCACAGACAAACTATGAAAAGAAATATGTCACTGCTGCAAGATCAGAGCGACAAAAGTTTTCTTTATTTTTTGCATGTGAAAAAATTATGATGGGTTTGGAATATTTTAAGAGTTAAGAGTTCATTTTAAGAGTTAATACAAATGATTCAGCTGTCATTCAATTAAGTTATGGTTATTTTAGCTGAGACTTCAGGATGTCACAAACAGGACTAAAATAATTTTAACCGGCTGTGTTTTACAGCATGCCGTGTGCCAGGTTAGTGTGCATCTCCATGTGCTCACCGTGCCCCACCACAGAGCATCAGCGTAGGTGGCAAACTCCTTGTTGAATTCTTTCTCCACCAGATAGACCAAGAAGGAGGAGAAGATCAACACCAGAAACCCTATATACCAGGCAGTCACCAGCTCCTGCAAGAAATACAGATAAAAGATCTTTATATTTTCATAAAGATGATTTCTAACCTTGTGCTGCAAACATGGTGAAAGATACTGATTGATTTTTTCTTTTGAATATAATCGCTCCCTATTGAGATTTTCACCACTCCACATAAGTCAATAAGTAACATTATTATCTTTTCCCCACTTTTCAACTTGGTTTGTGGTATGGAGAAAAAAAACAATATTTTTCAATGAAAATTTGGTCAATTTAAAGTTCACTGCACCAACAGTGAATACAGTACAAAATAAATATGAACATAAATGCATAAACAAGACGGATGGTCACAATATCAGGAGTACATGCAACTGGCAAATAAAAGAAATTACATCTGCATATAATATATCAATCAGAACAGTAATAGCATACTTTATAAAGTACCTGTGAAAATGGTGATTAAAAACTAGCACTAACAGATTGTCAGGTGCCATATAACAACTCAACAACATTGCATTGATGCTATTTTAAATAAATGTGACAGTTTCCAATTAGCTCAGTTTGCTGATGTAAAATCTCACTGCAAGTTTCAAGTCTTACAGAAGGATGTTGGCTTTGAAATGATTTTTTTTTTTTTTTTTTTTTTAACAAGGTTTACGGAAATGGCGACAGGCTGCTCGCATTAAATCAAAAGTGGCCCTGACGAACTGCTCTGCTGCCCTTTTAAGCAGGTGAGACTGCAGCTTTATTGGAGTAGGTACTGGGGCCAGTCCAAAGAGCAGCTCAGCAGTAGAACGAGCAAGTAAAATGTCCAGTCACATTTTAGACTTCTTTGACAGCTAAAGTTACTTAATGCTTTCAAGCTTTTAAGTTAAGGTTTGTGTAAACAGTCATTCCAGTAAGTCTGATACAAAGTAGTTTAAAGCCAGCTCCACTTCAGCCGCAGAAACAGTCATAGGTTTATTTCTGTATTTGAAATAATTTAGATGATTAATTACATTTTGTATACTATATTCGTTTAATTAACATACAACAGTGATTTGTAATACACAATAAAAGAGGTGGGTTGTTAGCAAATGTAGCAACACACACCATTAGCAAACCTACAAAATCAGGCCACCTAGTGATCTAGACAAACACACACAGATCCAAACACCTCTCTATATGTTTAGTTGTAGATAGACTCCTGAAATGACTGTTAAAAAAAGCCCTACCTTACTATGTGCGTAAACTACAGATCCAAGCAGTTTCCAGGTCCCTCCCCTACGGTCCATGCGCACCATGCGCAGGATCTGAAGGAAGCGAAGGCTACGCAGCGCAGATGTGGCAAAGATGTTACCCTGGCTACCAGCTGAAACCACAGCAACTGAGGCGATAAGTACGATGATGTCTGGGGAGTAAAAGAGGGAAATTAAAGGTCATGGGTTTCACAATATTAGTAACAGGAACTGTGGTTGACTCACCTACTTTCTAAATCCATCCAACCTGCCATCCGTCACCTTTAAAACAGCTACTTATTCGCTAGAAGCTGTTGTTTTCCTTTTATTTACATGTTTACATAAGTCTTTGTTTGTCATTAAATCTACAGCTTTAAGATATCATACGTATTTTGTCTCACTGAATTTCCCGAGAATATTGACGTCTTCCTTGCTTGAACACCAAAGTAAGAACTGAGAACTGCAGTCTTTTAAAAATGTGTGTTTTTATGTTCTACCCATAGCTGTGACAGTGGTAACTGTACCTGTAGTAACTAAGGGAAGACAAGTTTTATCAACATTGTTGCAACAAAAGTATAACTTCCTACTTATGAACCTGTTTATATAAGAAACTATATGTAACATCACAGGGAAGATATTAAAAGAACGCTATACAAACACAATTAAACTGTTTGGAGTTGTGAATGGCTGCATCCATAAATTGTACAGTTACATAGCAACATCTTCACACAGACCTACCTATGACACAAAACGGTTTTCTGGCAAAGCGGAGACGTCCCTGCCAGCCTCGATAGCGGCAACAACAGCCAGCACTCCATATTCGGATGATGTACTCCAGGCCAAACACTACAATCATCACAAACTCCTGCAGGATGCATACACAATAATTCACACACTTGAACCTTGTAGCATCATAAAAATAGTCAAACACCACAATCATCACAAACTCTCGCAGGACGCACACACAATAGTTCACGCTTGAACCTCGTAGCATCATAAAGATAGACTTAAAAAGTTATTCTTTCAATAGCTTTTTTCAAAAAGTCAAAAAGGTAAATCTGTAAAAAAAAAAAAAATCATCACTTACACTATAATCACTGTATATTTATGCATTTTAATGAGGGTAATTTAAAGTCACTACATGAAACAAGTTGATGTTCCTGACAGGAAAAGAAAAGGTGCAGTTAACAACATTGTTAATGACTGTTTACCATTAAGGTGAGCCAGGCCCTTGTTTGTTTGTTTTTTTCCCCATAATGCAGACTGATTCACTATTCAGACTTACAGTGATAATTCAGTGTTACAAGGCCATTAACACAGTAAAGATGTCTGTAATAAGAAAGACAACTTTACTGCAGATACTTTGACTCATCATAACAGGGAAAGCCTGTTTAAAGTCTACAGTGCTTCGTTTTTTGTTTTTTGTTTTTTCCAGATAAGCGACTAACAGCTGGACTAAAGCCTGCCAAAATATTTGTTTTCAAAATACTTGTTTTCATGCTGATAATTAGCCACAATTATAACAATTCTTTGAAAATATAAACTTTACTTTGGAAAATGTGGCCAATGTACTGGTCCATGTCCACATTAATGCTACAGGAGATGCTCAGCCATGGAAACCCATGATATGATGCTCCTAGTGCATTTTTTGTGTTGCTGTAAATGCCAGAGGTTTTGAAATTTCCAGTTAATGAGTCTTCAGAGCATTGGGACTTGGCGACCCTGCTCTGTAACTTCATGGCCGAGTTGCCCTGGTTCCATCAAGGCTTTAACTTTGCAATTATACCATTTCATTTGATCGTGGAATATCTAGGAGGGAGGAACCTTCACAAACTGATTATTATTGATCTGATTATTAATATCTTATTACAGTACCATGCTCCAATACTGAGCTCTTTTAAAAGATCCATTCTTTCACAAATTTTTGTAAAGGCAGACTGCATTGCTAGGTGTGTGATTCTAATCACCTTTGGGACTGTAAACAATTGAATTCAAAGATTAAGAGGTGTGGCCAAACACTTTTTTCAACATACAGGGTGGGCCATTTATATGGATACACCGTAATAACATGGGAATGGTTGGTGATATTAAAGTCCTGTTTTTGGCACATTAGTGCCAAAAACTCCTCAAGATGGGTGGTGACCATGGTGGCCATTTAGAAATCGGCCATCTTGCATACAACTTCAATTCAATAAGAAGAGGGCCATGTGACTCATCAAACTTATTGGTAATGTCACAAGAAAAACAATGGTGTTCTTGGTTTCAATGTAACTTTATTCTTTCATGAGTTGTTTACAAGTTTCTCTTTGTTCACAGCCATTGACATGTCGAAGAGGTTAACACGTGAGGAATGGATCGAAATTGTGTTGATATCTGGTGAACGTAGTAACCGGGTCATTGCAGCAGATTTCAACGCAAGACACCCTACGAGACCACCCATCTCCCATGCTACAGTCAGCAAACTGCTTGCTAAGTTTCGTGAAACTGGACGCAAGAAAAACTGTCACTAATGAAGAAACATCAGTGGCTGTCCTAGCTTCCTTCAGCAAGAGCCCACAGCGTAGCACTCGCCGCATGTCACTGGAGAGTGGCATTAGTCGAACATCCCTTTAGCGGATATTAGCTACTCACAAATGGCACCCTTACAAACTCCAGCTACTGCAGCATCTCAACGAGGATGACCCAGATTGGCGCACAGAATTTGCAGAATGGGCAAAACAAAAATAGGAACAGGACCCTCAGTTCACGCAGAAGATTTTGTTCAGTGATGAGGCAAACCTTTATGTGAATGGTAAAGTTAACAAACAAAACCACCGCTATTGGTCTGACACTAACCCACATTGGATGGATCCCTCCAAGACTGTTGGACCAACAAAAGTGATGGTTTGGTGTGGTATATGAGGTACAACGATAGTGGGCCCATTCTTCATCAATGGAAACCTCAAGGCCACTGGATATTTGAAATTGCTACATGATGATGTGTTTCCCTCTTTATGCACTGAAGCTGGCACGTTCCCTGAGTTTTTCCAGCAAGATGGTGCACCACCACATTATGGGTGCCAGGTCCGAGCATAGATGAACAGTTTCCTGGAAAGTGGATTGGTCGTCGTGGGCCAGTTGAACGGCCCCCAAGGTCTCCCGATCTGACCCCCTTAGACTTTTATCTTTGGGTTCATCTGAAGGCAATTGTCTATGGTGTGAAGATACGAGATGTGCAGCACCTGAAACTACGGATACTGGATGCCTGTGCTGGCATTTCTCCTGCGGTGTTGTTTTCAGTGTGTGAAGAGTGGGAGAAGAGGGTTGCATTGACAATCCAACACAATGGGCAGCACATTGAACACATTTTATAAGTGGTCAGAAACGTGTAAATAACTCATGAAAGAATAAAGTTACGTTGAAACCAAGCACACCATTGTTTTTCTTGTGACATTACCAATAAGTTTGATGTGTCACATGGCCCTCTTCCTATTGAAAAAACAAAAGTTGTATCCAAGATGGCCAACTTCTAAATGGCCACCATGGTCACCACCCATCTTGAGGAGTTTCCCCTTTCACATATACTAATGTGCCACAAACAGGACTTTAATGTCACCAACCATTCCCATGTTATTACGGTGTATCCATATAAATGGCCCACCCTGTAGAGTATCTTGCTGTTAAGAACTTTGACATATGAAACATAAAGTCATAGTCAGCTTTTAGCTAAAATCTAAAGAGATGAACCAATAAAGGTTAAAAAAAGTGACAAAACTCCAGAAGGTCACTGTGCTTACATAAAAGTGTTATAAAGTAATTACTCAGTATAACAGAGTAAGCCAACAGGATACCCCATGTTAATCAGTGAGCTTTACAAGGATTTAGAAAGTCTGCTTTTCAAATGTATGCTAACCTTAGCTATCTGCTTTCCTTTCACTTTTCTCGTGCAAGTCTCATAACTGGAAATAACTGTTCCTTTAAAAAATCGGACCAAATCCAAATAATAGGAAGAAAAAATACTGTATGCCACTACAGCTCCACTAACAAAAAGTAGTTATATAATATTGGTTATACTGTGTATAATGGTACACTGTGTGATCTGTCAGTCATCCACAGTGAGCTTCACCATGAGCACTTCATGAATATCTCTGCTGTGCAAAAAGTAAAACTGTTTTGTGTTATTTTTGCAATATCTTTTATTTTTTCATCACTATCTTAGCTGACAGATTTGTTTTCTGCTCAAGCATGTCCAAGGTACAAACTGTTAAAACTGGCTGATTTAACAAACTGATTTAGACACACACACACACACACACACACACACACATACACACACACACACACACACACACACACACAGTTATTTTACTGCATGACTTTATCATAAAATCATATAATGTAAACCCACCTATTGAGTCCAACTATTTGTATGAGTGTGTGTGTCTGTGCATGTATGTGTCAGTGCAGGTGCATTTGTGTGTGGTTGTTTTCTTGTGTGTCCTACCAGGATGAGCAGGCAGTGCGATGAGAACTCCTGGTGAGCAGGGATGGTGGAAAACACAGAGAGAACTAGACATCCGAATACCAGGATAAACCTTTGAAGACAAAACAAACACACACGCACACGCACACACACACGCACACGCACACGCACACGCATATTAATACAAAACATATATGTGTAATAAAGGTGATTTAGATCTTTGTAAAGGTTTAGACTCGTTAGCTCAGGGATTCTCTGGAAGTGATTATTTTCCCCCCACCAGGCTACAATCTGGATTTAAACTGTTAAAGGGGAGCCATTATATTAATTTCCAGCTTAATATATTTATTACTCTACTAGAGCAGGTTGGCGTGATTTCCTGTTTGAAATGAGCTGTTTCTTCCTTCTTCAATGATCCTTATCTGGTCTACAATGGCCCTTCAGTTCATTTCAAAGCCCTTTCTGGATGGATGTAAACTGCATTTCGTTGCCTTGTACTTGTGACGTGTGCAATGACAATAAAGTTGAATTCTATTCTGTTCTAATTCTATTCCGTTGTGATCTTATCTTAGTTATTGATCTTAGTTATCTTAGTTAGTGATCTATCTTAGATATATCTACTCTCACTTGTATCATGCAGAGCCAAGAATACAAAAATTGTGTGAAACTGAGCATCTAGAGCTCGCTGGTTCATAGAGATTATATAGACACTGAGCTTAGTATTTATATTTCACAGGAAAAAACCCACACAGAAACAAATAAAAAGCTAAAATATCAATATAAAGGGGGGTCACTGGAAAATCTGTATGTCAGAGCTGATATCCCACAATCTGTATGTCAATCCAAAACTGAATCCAGTCGTGAATAAAAGTATTTTGTAATTTCTTCTTTTTCTTCTTCTTCTTCTTTTGGATGCTCCCTTTAGGGGTCGCCACGGCGTATCATCTGCGTCCATCTCACTCTATCCCTAGCATCCTCCCCTGCCACACCAACTTTCTGCACATCCTTGTAATTTGATTTCTGATCGTTACTGTAAAGCTTGAGTCATAATCAGAGTGGAACTGTGGGGTATGGATCTGGAATAACTCTAACGTACTCAGAGTAAAAGCTCCAATTTCTAATGCGTTGTTTCAAATGACAATATAGACTCAAACTACATCACTGGTGCCTGCAAGGAAACCACTCAGTCTCTTGTAAGTCATATGGCAACTTGGTTAATGAGCAAATACAAAGTAAAATTCACAAGGCAGCTTCCAGGCAACATATGCACCGACTAGCAGTCCCAGCCTACTGTTCTTCAGAGTAACTCTGAACTGTTTTTGTTTTTTTCCAAGACGTCATCTGTCTTTCTGATATTTATGTGTTTATGGTCTCATTCCCACAGATTTTTTTAAAGGTTTCTTTTCCAGTCTTATTCCCTTTCTCATTTTCGGGACCCTCGCTCTTACTTGTCTCTTTAATATACCAAATTGTTTACTGGTCCCTCCCACACTGTTTCCCTCCTCACCTCCCATCCTCCAACTGTAATCTCTCCTTCCTTCAGCCTTCTGTTTCTCTGGACGCATTTTATTTTCTCTCTTCTGGCTTCCTTGTATAATTGATGTCAGGATTTATTTTCCATGGGATCCACAAGGAATATGAAAAGTGAGGTGAATGCTCATGTGTGTACCTGGCTGCATGCTTCACAGCAGCAGAGGACTGATGGTTCGAACTTCCAGCACACATCTGTATCTGATACTGGCTCCTTGTCTAATAGCTCTTTACTGTCATGCAGACAGACAGCATGAAGAGCACATTTAAAAACAGCATCCAGTTGTGATAGAGAAGTTTGTGTGTTGTTGGTGTGTCTGTGTGTGTAACCACAGATCGTCAGGATAACTTGTTAAGAAAAGTAAAAAACCAGGCATAGGTAATCCTTTAGACCTGGTCTGAAACAGGTCAGGTTTTAACATGACTTTCCTAATGATTTTTGTTAGGCGTTAGCAGTTTGGGAAGTGTCCAAGCTTGCGGTGGATCATTTCTATCTCTCTGCTCCACCTCGTTCACTGCAGTGACAACACACTCCCAGGCAATGTGTTTGGTTTTGTTTGCCAACCCACTAATTTGACCACTAAAAATGATGTGCTGACTGGCTTCAATCAGTCAGCTTATCTTTGAAAAAATGTGTTAGGGTCCCTGGGTCGTTGACCCAGTGTTTTGTGTTTTTGGTTCTTTGATTTTGTTATTTCATTATATTCTAGCTTTGCTTTATGGGTTTTAGGATCATTCTTAGTTTAGGTTCTCTGGGTGGGGTTGGTTAGAGTTTTAGTGTTCTGGTTTTCTGTCTGTGTTCCATAGTTGCTGTCTTCCCTGTCTGCTGTATCCCCACATCCAGTCAGTGTTTGTGTCTGCCCTGGTCCCACGTCTCTGTTCCCTCTGTAGTGCCTGCATGTGAGTCTGTGTTATGTGTTTCCTGTTTTACTTTGAAGGTCTCTGTCTTATCTCAGTGTGTTCAGTTTACGCTTCTTTGGTCTCGTTAGTTCTGATTTGTCCCAGCTGTGTTTCCCTCCTGTTACTCATTCCCTGATTGCTCCCTCTGTGTATTTAAGCCCTGTGTTTCTCTGTGTCTGTGTCGCGATCTACCGTTTATTTTGCTGTGTGTTTTGCCAGTCCACCGGTGTTAGTTTATTTTCAGTTTTTCCCAGTTATGTTATGTTTGCGTTCAGCATTAAAGCTGTTTTGGTTTAAGTTTGTCTCTGGAGTCTGCATCTTGGGTCCTATTCCTGTTTGCACACAGCCGTCACCTAACAAAATGGGCTTTTCCTGTTAGGATCATGATCATTCCTAACTCAGTCCAATTCCATTTAAGAAACTAGATGGCAGGTTATGTCATTGTATCAGGACCAATCAGGACTGAGGACTCTCCCATAAAGGAAACCTACCTGTGGTTAGACTCTCACTCTCTCCTTGCTGATGACTATTTGGCACACCTGGGGTGCTGCTCTTGAGCAATTCTTTTGTTTTTAAAAGGTTTGTGGTGGGAGACAGAGGACTAGGTAATTTTCACATGTAGGTTCTTTTCTGTTAGACACAACCTAATGGTCTCTTTCCACATTTTGTACAATCTTGAATAATTTTCTTCACTTTCACAAGGACTCAAAATTATTGTGGCTGTCCCGTTACTCCCTCCGTCCAACCAGGGGTCATAACAGTGGCTGTCAAGACGCCACAATTACATTAAAACTTGACTGAAAATGAGTAACTACATGTCTTATAGAATGATGAACCCAAATGTGAACTTTTGGTTCAAATAAATATGCCTGGAGGAGATCAGTAGAGCTGGCTACAACAGTGTAAACAAAATTATGTTTTTAGGAATGCAGTAAAGGATCGTCACATTTTGATCCACCATGTAATACTATTTAGAAAATATCTGCTTGGCAACAGCATCATCAATGATCCCAAACATAATGGCAGTGCAGTAACAGCATAATGATGGAAGAACACACAGTGGAGCACTATCAGTCATGAACTGCCAAGAGCAGTGAGGGATCATGATGACAGCACAAGATGCAGCAAAGATTCAAAGAAGAGATTTGGACTGTCCGTCAAGACGCCTGGAGAAGTACTCCTGAAGACTACAAAAACACTTTCTGTAAAAGCAGTGTGGGATGTTCCAGATCTCTTGTTTATGGAAGAGACCAGATCAACTTCCCTTAAATGACTGGATGGATGCATTTATGTATATGTACTTCTACCACTCCTCTCCTGTCTCATTTATGTTTACTTTATGGAGCAAAATATATCCTAGCTTGTAACACATCCTTCAAGTGTGGCTATTTAAAGAATTCTCCCTCTAATGTTGCAGCACAACATGTTTTTTCATTGCTAGAATGCTATGAATGCTTGTTTCTTTAAATTATTTATTTATTTAGGCTGGTGAGTCCTGAATTTCAGCAGGAAATTATGAATATGAAGACAAAAGAGTTTCTGAATCATGTGCACTGGTTTCAACATTTTAGAAGGTAATATCGCAGAAGTTGGCTTGTAACTTCAGAGGTAAGCAGTAGTGCTCTTCTTTGTCTTGCGATCTAGCTGACCTTTCAGCCAATCTGACACCTTTTGGAAACACAGATAGCTTCACTAAACACGCCACTCTGAAAATTGACTTACAAAAGTTTTTCAGAGATACCTAGAGTCTGCATGCAGTGGTGTATATGTAGGCCTTATTCCACACACTACGTTTTAGAAACATAAAAATGCATCACTAGCACATTAATTGCGTGTTTGCATTGGTACTCTTTGTAAGAGCATGTAATTTTAGAAGCAATGACATGTACAAATTATACTGTGATGTGATTTGAAATTGGTTAAAGAATTTTTCTCCAAAAGTTCTTGACTTAATAAAGTGAAGCCTGGCTAAATTTCAGTGTCCAAATGTAATTTCTAAGGCTATTTTGTATTAGACAATTGCATATTTTCAAGATGTTTTTATTTTTCATCCTCATGTTTCAAGTATATTTTCTTTCTAATAACATTTCAGTACCAGGCTTTTAGTGAATAAATAAAATGAGTGAACGGTTTAGTGTACTGTGTGAAAATAGAGCAATGAGAGACCTTGATTACAGCCTTTGGCAAAATCAGAGTGAATAGCTCCTGCAATTTACAATCGGGGACTATATGAATAACTTTGGAAACACACGTTATTATTCTTTGATGTTTATAACAACACAAGCAGAGGCATTCTCGATGAACGCTCCACGCTATATTTACAATGGCAGCAGTTTTCATTTTTGAGGAGAGGAGATGCAAAGATCACCCATCACATCAGACAGCTCTTTACCATTTGGTGGACAGGTACTGGATCTGTGATTTCAGTCATCAGATGATTATTGTTTAGACATGCTGATGAGAAGAAGGCATGACTGCGGGTTTCTGAGTCAACCGTGTGATTATGAATAATGAAAAAAGTCTAATGAACTCTCGGCTTTCTGTGTTTAAAAGTGGCATAATTTTACATCACTCATCTGAAATCAGCATAGTATCAACATTGCTTTAAGCATCCAGGAACAGTGTGTGTTTTCCATCTGTTGCATCTCTTGTCGGACATCGGTTGATGATGAAATTATTCAG